GCGAAGGAATGTAGCAGAATGCAGCAGCAAGTAAGAAATTCAGGAACAAAAGGACCAGTAGTAGAATCATGCCTTAAGTAATAATCGCATAACGATTGAGCCGTATGAAGAGTGCTAAGACTGTTATAATGAGGCAAATGGTCCGCGGCAGCCGCATGCGGCGGATAGATTACCCACAACCGTTCCTACTGCCCGTCTCCCATCGTCATTGTACAGGCCACATAGGGATTCAATACGACACCACGATTTCGATAGGAAGTAGAATAGGGGAGGCAATCTTCAGAAGAGTTCGATCAATACCAAAGACATTGTCACTTGTTTATCCTCTATATATTTTCCTAATTTTTTTGTTTATTTATTTTTTTAAAGCGTGTACGTCACGATTCGATGCAGTTGATGACTCGAACCGATTGACTTCTAACTACTTCACAGCTTCCCAGAAAACATTATCAAAGTGAAGTAACAAAATCATGGGATAATATTTATCACTGGAAACCTTACAACTTTTTACAATAAATCTCTATGTATAACTCCGGATCATGTTTATCAGTTGATATCGTCATCAGTCATATAGTTCTTAACCATGTACGAGAACTCATCGTAATCTATCAATCCATTACCATCAACGTCTGCCTGAAATTGTTTTACTGTAGGAATCTCGGCAAATATGTAGGTAGATAAGGTAACATATGGGTTTTTGGAAGAAATATCGTTTATGACAATGTTTTTTTGCTGTTCTTTTTTTATTCCATGTTCTAGAAAACTATCTAGAATCGAAAATTCCAATTCTAGAATATTCTAAAAAAAATGTAATTTGTCTACGATTTTTTTTTNTTTTTTTTTGTATCTATTAGAGAAATGTTCTATGTTCTAGGCCTCACCTCCAAAAATATTTCGTCGATAATCTGATTATCCGTGATATCGCCCAATTCTCGGAGTATGTATTGAAAGTCTTTCTTTGAGATTACACTGGATTCAGACTGAAAATAAGTACAATAGGAAAAACTATTCCAAAAAAAAGCCAAATTTCGATTTTAAAGTTATAAACCACCTGGGACACACGAAAACTTGAGACAAAATCCCTAATATGGGAAGTTTGGGAAGCCTAAATAAAATTCGTACTTACCCGGTCGAATACACTGAAGCATTCCTTGACGACTTCATTCCAACTGCGTTTTTTCATATACAACCGCCGCATCACCACACAGAATTCATCGAAATCGATTTGATGGTTACCCCGTTGGTCTACCTGCAAGATCGACTAGTCGATAATCGATTGACCGGCAAACATCATGCGAACTTCGATCAACTGACAATTTAGTGACTACAGAAAAAGCGATTTCAACCTAAGCTGGCCACAATTTCATCAGAAGTATGTGGGGACCCATGATCACAGATGAAAAGTGACAAGAAACCGAACCCAGTTAATTATAAATATATATTTTGTTTATTATCGCAGTTCCTCGAAATACTATGGGTCATTTTCATCAAAAACGGAAACTTCAGTCTAAAAAATTTTCATTCGGCTGGACAGGCCCCAGGGTTTTCTAGATAAATGACTTGCCGAAATAAAAACTTCGGACTCAATAGGGTCTTTTCTACATTAGATTAATACCCTTTTTTTGGATAGCAGAGGACCTAGCTTCTCATGGGCCCCCAACCCAGCTAGAGGCTATTTTGAAAATCTATCTCATCTAGGAAAGGTCTTCAACTTGAGCCTTTTAACAACTTACCTCATCGATGATCTTGTCCAGTTCATCTCTTGTCTGTTCCAAGCCGAGATTCCGAATCGCTGTTTCCAGTTCATCCAAGGCGATTGCTCCACTTCGATCTGCAAAGGAACCAATCAATCCCATTCCACCTCAACCTCTTCCGAAGCAGAAAATTGTGGGATCTGGAGGCCCTTGCCAGATAGTTTTCAGTCCACACCGGCCTTTACTTTCATATTACTACCTCAAATGGACAAAGGATTCGTTCTGCCTGAGACTGCGTGACCACTTCATCCTTGTTCAGTATCCAGACCGCTACTTCCAAAGAAGCTGTTCAAACGATTCTGTGATAACCCTTGATAAAGTCGATTTTGACTGATAGTGAGAACATTGATCCATGATGATTACCGGTAAGTAGAGTCGGATGAGGTTCACTTTAGTAATATCAGGCGCTGGCGGTAGCCGTGTTATGGAAATAATGGTTCTGGTTACAGTAGCGATTGTCGTACTCACTGTGATTCTCGGCTGCAAAGGCAAGAAAAGCGAAGTAAGTGGTTCTTTTCAGTGTAGTTTTACCCGGGGGGCGATACTTCTCCCCGGAATCCCATGACGAGCGGCAGTGATCCCGTATCTTGCCGCCGGAAATTCAAACCTTTGCTCCCATAGCGCGATCAGAAGCGGCAAACGTGCGCGATGAGGTGCGGCAAACGTGCGCGATCAGGCGCGGCAAAGGCGATGCGGGGAGAAGTACCCACACCCGTACTACACAAAATTCTTATTTCATAGTTCGACTGTGCTTTCAGCCTTCCCCAAAGCGTCCACTCAAATCAGTAAAACAACTACTGACGTTGACGAAAGGGGCGAAGTCTAAAAGGAGTCACGCCAATAGTAAAGGGTCGTCAGATTTAAAAACTGCCCTCCCGATAGAGCAGTCTCTAGCCGTTGAGGATACTCAACAAGATCCAAACAAGAAAAAGTCGAAGGGTGAGGATAAAAAGAAGAAAAAGGACAAGAAGGAGAAGGAGAAGGAGAAAAAGGAAAAGGAAAAGGAGAAGAAGGACAAGAAGGACAAAAAAGCCGTATGTCTCTGTCTATATGAACATAACGTACGTATTGATCGGAAGGTGAACAGTAGCTGATCTGGTGACGTTGATTACCCCCATTGAATGGTTCAACGACCGGCTACTTTCACGGTCCTATCAATCTATCTTAATGGATGGCAGTTATGAGTATTAATTCTTTGCGCGTGAAATCGATACATACTTTCCGAAAAACTACACTGAAAGAACGGTCTAAAACCAGAAAGCAGCCATGTTCCAGGCACTCCCAGAGGCTCTGTGTTGTTCTCTTCCCATTCCACTGATAGCATTCCTAAGACATTATCTGAAAAAGCCTATCGATTAACACGTTTGTCCGTCAGTACGAATCAGTTTCGTGATCGACGTGACCCTTTGAAGCGTTAGCTGATATTCTGCTTAGGCTCTGCTAAGCTGGCAGGTCAGGAATGCTTTCACAATGGCTCGAGTGGGTGCATTAGGGGCAGAATATGCCTCATTTGCTAAGGTCGTTTACTTTCGAAACGACGTACTACAGGAGTTCAAACCACACTGGTTACAAATGGGCAGGCGTGGCTAGCAAGCTCTTTCTTCCCATCAGACTGTTCCATCGGGATAAAAATACGAGTACGAAGAAAGCAAGTTAAATAAGTATAGGAACGCAGGTTCATGACTTTGGGAGAAGAATGATATCAGCTGATTTAAATTTCCCCGAAAATGTAGCTTACGAGGGACTTTCAGTGGTCTGCGTCTCCATCGCTAAGGAACAGAGGGGCAGAGAATGAGGGGAAAGTGGCTAAGTATACACCTATGGTGACGCCCTGAAAAGATCCTCGGTCAGAGGCATCTTTCATAGTCCACGACCGGTCGCGCGACTGGTCGCGGACCCATCTCACGAGCGACCGGCGACCGGTCGCGCGA